GTTACCGAAGACAATATTGTTGTCCCGGAGAGGAAGCTCGGGTTTCAGTGCTCGGTGAAAGTCTTCGCTTCGCCCGTGAACGATCGATTTCGCCTGGTATTTAAGGACACGCGTCAGGTATACGTTTCCAGGCTGTGACGTACAGCTCTCCCGAGAAAGGACATCAATGCGTTCAAGCGCGCGTAAAACACCGACGCCTGCAGACGTAACGGAGGACGGACGGTCGGCTGGTTTGGGATACATGCGCGCCCACCAGCCCGGCTGCCATCATCTCAAATTGCAATCAATAGACGGCCGACGAGACGGCGCCGAAACGTGCCTTTATCCGACGCGGGCAACAATACAAATAGAGGGTGTCGCGAAATCCACGCGAAATTTTCTCCTCCTCTTTCTCGCTCGTCCTTGATCGGGCGAGCCGATTCATTTCGCGCGAAGTCAATAGACAACGTTTGGCTAGCCATGTTTTTGCACTTTCGAGGAAGGGTGCTTGATACCATTGTAACCTTTGGTACGACGACCAAAGTGGCAAGGAATGAAACAACAACGTTGTTTCTGTTAGATTTGCTAGCAATATCGAAATTAAAAATGCTCTTTCAGTGATGTAGGAGACCTTGGTTACTGGCGTGACTTATGACTTTCAAGCACGAAAGGATCGGTTTGTTTTAAATAGGGAGCAATCGATCGGTCCTTTTTAGATCCCGACCCTTTACACTCGAGAGATACACTCTCGACTTGATTTAGTAAAATTAGAAAGTTTTATATATAAAACAACTTTGTTTCTTAATTTATGGTTTTCAGTAGTCCTCATTGAGAACTGTATATTTCCAGTGAAAAACTCTTGAGTGTGAAGGGTTAAGTTGAGAAGATGAGTATACTTTAAAATGATGGAAGCGTATCGTTGATATTGGCAGCGATGTATTACGTTCTGTTGTTTAAAGAATAATTTCTTCGGGAGTAATTAGTGCTGATGATAATGCGATCGATCCGTCCCGTTTTCTTTCAGATTTGATTTAGTCGCGAAAACGCCAACCCCCGATATTCTATCCCATTGTTTGCAGAAGCTCGTAAACTGTTTAAACTGCCCCCGCTTTGTTTGCGATTCGAATCGAAGCACCCGGTTGGTGGGTCCGCGAGGCGCCAAGCGGTTTCAAGATTACGAAGGAAAGCGTTCAGGCGCCGCGTCGCCCCGGCAAGCAACATTCCAATGTCAAGATCGTAAATCAGAAACGCGGCCCGGTCGAACGTATTCGTCCGAGAAAGAAACCCATAACGACGGAAGAAAATTGCTGGGATGTTTGTTTAGGGGACGAAGACCAGGCTTGATTAACATGGAACGATATTCCATTAAGGAGAATCGAGATTATCCTTGTTATACATCGTCATCCTTTAGAAATTCTGTTGCTTGAAACGATATTGGAACTTTGAATGTTGAAAATAATTTCAATTATCGCTGAATCGTTTCGTTTAGACGTTGAAGACCAAGTGCGACTGACATAGAAATATTTTGGTACGTATTTTGGTAAGTATTTTTGTCAGGGAGATCGACTGAGACAAAATTGTATCTTCAAAAGTTGAAATTAATTCCAATTATTCCTGTCTAATTTTATGTACGTGCTAAAGAATAGGTTCGATTGAAATAGAACAGTATACTGGTAAAGAAGATCAAGTGAAATGGAATCGTGCCTTCGAAACGTTCAAGTTAATTCCAATTATTCCTAACTAATTCGATTTGACCGCTACAGAGCAGGTTCCATTGAAACAGAACAGTATCTCGCTATAATATTCCTTATTATACATTATCTACTTCCAAATCCTATGGCACAGAACGAAATCGTGCTACTTAATTATTACTTATCGCTATTGCTCGTAATCGCTACTTAATTTTAGTTACCAAATAATTCATTGTATCCCAGAAATTATGAAACGAATAGTCAATTAAAACGCTAAATCTCCATTGAGATCCGTCACCAGAATTAAACAGATATTTGTATTCTCGTTTAATTGGGCTGCGAGTTCGAGATTACCGTTCATTGTTAAACACTTGCATAACACAGTTTTTCGGCGGATACGCTCCGAATGCATAATTCATAATGTATCGGCCATAATTCATCTTCCGACCTGGTCATAAATCATTTTCCGCCGGTAGAAGCGGCGAAGTACGTAGAAGGAGGCGCTTAATCGTTATCGATCGGGCTCGAGCTGCGCGAATAATGGAAATCACCGTTCGATCGTTATAGAACGCCATTGCCCGGCCGCGGATCAATTTACTCGCATCACGACCGTTTTCCAATTCGTCCCCCCGCGATAACGAACTCGCGATTGCATGTGCATCAGAAAAACAATGTCCGATAATTGATCCGATGGAATCTCGGGGTGGAAAGCTCGCCGATCGCCGTCACCATTCTCTCGTCGACAGATGACGGGGCGCGATCAGCACACCGATGATCATGCTAATCAGTTTCACGCGATAAATCTCGATTCGGCGATATTCGATTTTCGTTATTTTGGAAGAAGATATTGGGAACACTTCGAGCTTCTTATATAGAAACGATTCATTTGAAAAATATCACGATTCCCGTGTAATTGAACCTTTTGCAATATAATTATTTTTCTAGTTTGATCTATGCCATCTCTGATTTAAGTTTTCTGGTTTTCGTGTCTCATTTTAGGCATGGAGAAAGTGCTATCTAAAATTTAGGTCTTTACTAACGATAAGACGTCTATAATATCCACATTCAAATATTTAGTTTATTATTGTTTATATTTTTGTAAAGTATGGTACTTCTTAAAATATTTTCATACATGCAAAAATAGCTTCCTGTCGCAAGTTTCACAGAAGCATATTGTTCACCGTGGAGGTTTTGTTACGATTAAGAGCATACTAATCAGTCATTATGTTTGTCTCAAGGATGTACACTTATTATATATAAATAATTTACCATCTAACCGATTTTTAAGTATTCCAGGGGAAAATAGTTATGTCACGGCAGAGATGACTTCATACTCCAAAATAATTCGTCTAATAAAAGTCTAATTCGAGATTCTATTCGGACAATAAATATCTATTCGATGCATCTATCAGATAATAAATGTATTAAATAGGTATGAGAAATCTAATATCCACACAATGTCCGTTTATCTAATATCTAATATCATTAATTTACGAAATACTCATGTTCAGCGTTCGGTAATACCGACACTTGAGTCGTTCGATTGCCAATCCGATCAGCAAAACGGAAACTAGAAAAACTCGATGAAATCGCATGCACGAAGATCCTATCGATGTTTCCTAATATTCGAAAATATTCCAAAATTGGAGTCAATCGCTTTAACCCGTGGACGATTCGTTTGTTAATAACAATCGCGTAATTGCGATTGTTATCGGTCACCTCCTCGTGATCGCTGTTTTTTATCAATTCATTTCTCGATGGTTTAATAAGCGGAATTAGCAAGGTGGTCGGAGGCATGAAAACGTCCAATAAATTTCGCCGTGGCCCTATCGTGAGCCCTCATCCCCAACGGTGAACAGATTTTTCCACAGATAACGACACGACCGCCGTCCAATGAGATTTATTCCTGGTTGGTATTTAAATTTCGCTGAAAGGGAGTGGAAACGGCGCGGACCGCAATTTTGATCGTTAACCGGCCTGTAATTCTCGCCTTGCACTGCCTCTTCAATTATTTCAATAAACAGCGGTTCTGACGGCCGCGATCAAGCGATCGTCGTCAGCGTGAATGTGACCGCCCTCCTGAACGCGGTTTAAGTGCCCTTTAGTTTGCTACCCTTGTATGGTGTAATTTCGGTTTTCGATGTTTCGAGCGTCGCGTAAACGTGATTTAAAATTTAACAGCGTTCCTCTTGTTTCGTGCGGTGAAAATCGAATGGTCGAAACGAGAATTGAGAAATTGAATTAAGAAGTGAAATTAACCGGTCAATATTGGAGATGTATAAAAATGATTCATTTTGGGTATATTTCATAATGTTACTACGGAACGTTATTAATAAAGAAGCGCAGGTATTATAATTCAACGTCCCATGTTTTCAATTCAAATCTTACGAACCTTAACTCCATTTCTTTCACTCTTTCCACTGTAGATACATTTATTCACAAACATTTTTAAGAAACACCCCAATGTCCCTTCTCTTCGAAGCCAACGAATGTCAAGGAGAAAGTTATCAACGCTAAAATCTACCTCGAAGCTCTCCTTCATCAATTTTCCAATTCCAAACGTAAGAATATTGTTACTAAAGAAACCTCCCCCGCCTCCAACCCCTTTCCTTCCACGATCCACCCAACAATTCTCTCATGCAGAAGAAGCTACCAACGCAGCAGAACTCCGAAGCCTCTTTGGGAAAGATCAACTCGAAACGTAAAAATTCCGTTCCTATAAAAATGTCCTTTCCAGCTTAAATCCACCCAATGATTCTCTCATCTAAACTCGATCGAAAAACAGCTGCTTCGAAGTCGAATGAAAAAAATATCCGAACCAATAACGTGAGGAACGGTCTCGTTGTTCGATCGTCGTCCTGGCCCTATGGGGGCGGATGGTGAATGGGGTAGCGTAGAGACAAAGGCAGGCCACTCGAGGATGCAGGAACGCGGAAGCGGGCGCAGCCGCGGGAACCTCGGGCGGGGAGGGCGCCGACGCCGAGCGTCGTCGTCGCCGGCGCCTCGGCGGACGTCAGTAGAGATGCCGCGTCCGCGAGTACGGTGTATCGACGGTGCCAGTTAGCCCGTGGGGTAGCTTCGGGGTGGATCCACCCGAAAGTACGGCGAGAGGGGCGCGTCAGGACGCGGGGGACGCTCTCGTGGTTACGACGGTGCGTTCCTCGGCTGGCGATCCTTCCGACTTGTATCACCTCTCGAACCATCCGAACTCGTCACCGTCGGGTTCACCCCTCGAACACGGGGAACGGAATAAATTACACGCGGCTGCCTGACGCGTCGGCGACGAAACGTTCATTTTTGAATTCGAATTTTCGGGGGTGAGCACTTCGATCACACGGAGGACCAACAGTACAAAGATTCTTTAGTTGGTTGTTCCTTCTTCTTAAGGATTGTTACACACGGTGGTCGTCGCCTACGTTTTTTTAGTCCTATCGCACACGGTGTTCTTACGTATCGAGCTTCGATGAATCTCCAGTGATCTTTGTTGTATCGGAAGCAGTGGTTGTCAAGCGAAGCGAGGCGAGTCACATGTCTAAGATTTCACTGCGGTAACCTTTGAACCGTGTGCAGCTGGTGGCTACTGTAACTGTGTTTCTAAAGGAACGCGATCGTTAGATTGCTACTCTTTAGGAAAGAGGACTGGACATTTGCTTCTATTCCGTTTTGCATTTGTGAACCTTAAATCTGAAAGGAAGGGTATTCTGGAGAAGCTAACTTCTTCGTTGGGAATTGCGAATTCTTGAAAGTGAGACTTATATCGTTGCGACTAGAGATCATGGGAATGTCCTCGAAGTTCGTGAATGGACTCGGAGAAGTCTGAATTTCGTTGCGATGTACGTGTGTGAGGGGTGATTTTTCTTGCGGATGGTCCGACCGCAGGTTTCGAAAACCCGCGAAACGCGGCGAGCAGGCACGGTTCGACGACGATCAGACCGACATCGCGGCTCCCTCGTCCCTTCGCGTTCTCCCCACGCGATCGATTTTATTTCCTCGCCTCGGGGATGATTCGCCGCGTACGAGCACGCGAACAAAGCCGCGCGGCGCGCGATGGTTAACCTTTGAACGGTCGACAGCTCGGCAAACATCGTTACCGTGGCGGGGACTTTTTCCAGATGGCTCTTTTCGACGCTCGGGTCCTCATTACCCGCGTTAACTCTTTGTCTCGCGGTGCGTATTCCTCCCTGCGCGACTATCGGCCGCGTATCAGCCGTGTCCGACACGAGATCGATGGGTATCGCGAACCATCGCGAGATACCTTAACGCTTTATCTACCGCAAGCCTATTAATAGATATCTCGATCACCAAATCAAAACGGAGCTCAATTATATTCCTTCAAATAATAATCCCCGAAGATTAATTACTCGCGATGAGACGTTGGCGTATGATTCTGGTTTAGTAAGCTCGCCGCAACGTTTCCGAAGGAACTCTTAACCGTTGATCATTGGTTTCTCGAAGATCGCCGATTCGTTTAACTGTTTGTAGGTAAAGTGTTAACACTTCGAAGTAGGGTGAAAAATTACTCTGCAGTGTGCGTGTACGAGTGCTAAGACAACAAGAGACGTTTTATCCTGATGGACTGCAAGCGGTTAAAGCGTAGACGATGAGCCGATCGAAGGATCAAAGGCTGAATGTCGATCCCATTCGGTGTACACCGGGTGTTCGCGCGAGTGTTTACCGAGCTTTCGAGTTTAAAAGGCCGGAGACGACGATGCTTCAGGCTGGAGGGCCGCGGGAAACGGTGGAAAGGAAATTCGTACCCCTAGAGGGAACTCGGACACCCGCGTTTGAATTCATTACCACTCGAGAGTACCGTGAACGACGTTAATTCCCTCTCGCGAGGATCGGGGAAACGAGGATCGATTTCTCAACGTGAATCCATTCGTATGGTCCCAGTTTTAACGAATTCAATTTATACTTTCTTCTTATTAGAATATTCTATTTTGAAAAGTGATTTCACCTGCTGATTTCTTATATGAATCTATTAGGAGAGTTCCATAAGATTTTTACTATTCTAGAAATGTCCTCATCGTTATTTTCTCTTTCTTGCATCAAAGAATGAAGTTTTGGTCTGAATTCACGAAAATAAAACTTCATTCTTTAACACAAGGAAGAGAAAACAACGACAAGACAGTTTCTAAAACAGTAAATATCCTGTAGAGTTCTCCTAACAGATTCAAATAAGAAACCAACCTTTATTTCAGACGCGAGATGAAATCATGACGACAATAAAGATACGAATTCTCTCCTCGTGTATTGAAGAAAACGCAGACGAGAATTCTCCGATGTGAATTTGTTTCGAAATTCCGTCTTATGTCTTGCTCCCTTTGCCATTATTACTATTATGTCACGACTGTGATGCAATTCCTTCCAATCACGCGACCGTCACCTCGTCCCATTGCATCCGAGCGACCGTGTTCCTTTGATCTTTAATTCCACTTGGAGAAAGTAATTGAATTGTTACGATCGCAGCACGAAGGCCGATGCCCGGGGAGTAAAGGAGAATCAAAGGAGCACCCGTGAAATGGAAAAGCTCGCGTTCTGACTAAGGAAAACATTCCAACGTACCCCGGAACCAACTCGACGAGCTCAACGATGAATCGAGAGAACGAAGAAGTACGCAGTCCTTTTACACGTGATTTAAATACTCCTACAATTCATCTGCAAACTGTTCGATCGCGTGAACGTTAGCAAACTTGAAAACTTCTCTTTCTCGTGCAAAATAAAGGACCAGGAGTTTTGAAAAATGTTCAGACACGAGAAAAGGAAACAAGTGATCCCTAGTGATCAAGTGTGATCAAGTTAATTATTTCTCGAATATCATCGACATAAAGTTGTCATTTATAGATGATAACGATAATTAAGAGTCTGTAGAAAGTGTCAGGAAGCTTCGCACGAAAATTCGATGCGCTTTTCTGTCATGACTACCGCTGACAAAAGAACTTGTACGAAATTTCGGTGATATCGATTCAACGAACGCTGTCTCTATTTGAGTGATCATTTCTCCATTGTTTTCTCGGTGAACAGCAGCGACCGGAGTCCCAGACCCTGTGCGGAGCGTTGCAGAAGGAGCCGAACTGCAAGTGCTTGGTGCTTTCCGTGTTAATATACGGGTGTCTTGCCGCAGTGACGTGGTGTAGATGCGCGAATGTCACCAAGGTACGTCACTTCCTCCGCATCACGGGATTCGTCGGTCGGTTGTACTATCGAAGAGCGTCCATTTCATTCAGCAATTGGAAGAAATCGATCCGTCGGACTTGGTCGATTTGTAGCTTGGCGCCTATCCGATTCCGCAATTAACGCGTCGACTGCCACCAGAATTCGAAGACTTGTATAAATATAATAACTACCTATTCTGTTATGAAACATATAAATGCTATTGGAAATTATTATTATTCTTTCGTGGACAGAGATTTTTAGAACGTTAGAAATACTTTTCATGAAAAACTAAAATAGATATCAAAGTCTCGAATATTAGAAAACAAGAAAACTATGTAACGATGTTTTATTGTTTATATAATGGAATTCGTTGGTTGCAACTCTTGATTCTGTACGTGTAAACCGATAACGCTGATTATCAAAAGATTAATGACTTGGTATCGCAGTACTTATGTCACCAAATATTGTCATTTGACAACGATCTCCTTATTACAATCATTTTCAAGCAACTCGGAAGCTCCGTCCTTCAAACCGTGGCAGTCAACGTGCTAATCCACCCGTTACGATCCTATAAATCTAATCTATACGAAAAATTCAAGTTGTTATCGACTATAATCTGCATATAGTAAAGTTTACTTTGCAGCGTCGTAAAATGCATATTAAAAATTGTTTTGTATAGAATACAATATAAAAAATTCGAGTACACGAGACGATATTAATAGTCTATTGATGAAGTTAAGATTAAATGTGAAAAATTTTTCTCGAAAACAGAACCTATTCCAGGTCGTAATTAACTATTCGAGGTTCCCGATTAAAAGCACTAGACAGGTGTCCCCGTGCGACGATGGATACATATACATTCCCGTGAGTATTTCATACGTTAATCCTCTTGTAAACTGTATCACCTTTGATAATCCGCTAGAAAAGCTCCTGAAGCCTTATTAAGTCTCGTTCACTTTAGAAATTAAACGCCGATGACAAAAATACAACGCTTCATTTCGCTTCAATGGGATAATATGATATAAAGATATATAATACTAATTATCTATCGATATAACATTAATTCAATTACTCTGAAATCTTTGTTACGAATTCAACACAATATTACGATACAAACTGTTTCGCAGATCGTAGCTTGGCAAACTTGTTCCACTATTACTCAACCTTAGATATATTTTTCCTATACGATCATTCGAAAGGGAATTTGTTGTTCCTCTCAAAGGTTGCGTTCATGGGAATGCTGTACCTGGTTTACCTAGTCGAGTGCTATCACTCGCCTATCAGAATCGATCTGCTGCACGCGGAGAGCCAGGACAGCGTATTATCGAAGCTGTCGCAGCTGAAATCCGCCCAGCCGACGATCTGGTGGAAGGCGGTCTCCTATCACTACGTGCGCCGGAAACGACAAATTACCCGGTACAGAAACGGAGACAATTACACGACGACGCAGGTAACGCATAGCGCGCAACGTGCAACGCATATCCCGTTATCCAGACGATGGGAGATCGCGGGATGGTAAATCGTCGATACGCTTCGCGCGAGCTTCAACGAACCGTTGACGCGAGGACAGATGGGCCATTCCCTTTGCAACTACCCTGAACGTTCGATCGTCGAGATATTGATCGAATGTGGACCCCCTTGCCTCTGGAACATAGTGTATAGAGTACAATTTAGGTTTTATACCAACAGCGCTAGGGGCTAGCTTATAAAGAGCTATGACCCTTTGTTTCGACGCCTGCGAATAATATTCTGGATCGGTGAAATGTCTATAGCGTGCGGTAGCCATAATTGTGATTTACTCCTGCTGTAGCACCTTGTCTGAGGTAGAAACACTTGAATAACGAGTTAATTCAACTTTTGCATCGCTGCTTCTTTATATTAGTAGTAGCAGTTGAGACTTGCAACACGACTATAGTGAACTGTTGTGAATCTGGTTTGCATTTGCTTCTATAATAATGTATTGAATAAGGACCGAATTGTCTTTGAAAAAATCGAATTAACTACATTCTATACTGATACATTTAATGAATCCGTTAACTGACTCTCACGATGAATCTTTTCTCCAATGGCCCATCTTTCCTCGACCCATTCCTCTTCCTAACAATTCAATATTTTCAGGTCTACTATGAGAGGATCAACACTCATGCAGCGACGTCCTTTTACTACTATGACTACTGCGGGGTGAAGGACATCAGCAAGGAGTTGATCATGGACCCAAAAGTGCCAATCACGAAGATCAACCTGAGCAAAGGGTTCGCGTTCTCCAACATGAGATCGGCGACGGAGTTCGAGGAGGCTAGGTCTAGATTCTTCGCGGAACAAGTACGACTTGATACGTTGCCACCAATCTCTGTTAATTGATTGATTAATTGATCGATGAAAATGTTATTGTTCCAAGGAGTTAAGGGACGACTACATGGAAATGCGGGAAGGACTTGATTTAGGGTACAATCCGAACCCCACGACTCTGGTGGCTGTCCTTGGCAACCCGTGGTTCACCAATCGTTACGTCTACTGGTCTCTTAGCGCTCTGTTGCTCAGCTGGCCGTTGAGGGTCATCATAGAGTACAAGACACAGTACGCGGACTATCAGGTAAACATTGCCTTCCTATCTTTGGCAGCTAGTAAATTCGCAGTCCTCGTTAACAACTAATGAAAGCACGGCACAAACGCTATTAAGCAGAAATCATCGTCAGTTCCTTTCAAGTTTACAATTCATAACAAAGATTCCTTTTGTATTCCTAGCATCAATTAGATGCCTCGTCTTTGTCGACATCTTTCGATGACAGACAAGAAAAATATCTAAAACTGTTTTCCTTAGATCACCAAACTGTTCGGTATCAACTACGACACGCCAAGCGGAAGCGAACCGATCCACGCTTCCATGAGCCAGCAGACGATCAGTCAACCAGGATCCTACATGCTGGCGCCGAGCTACAGCGAGGCGTTGCTGATGGATCCCGTCCCCGATTCAAGAGCCGCTCAGACTCAAGAAGACGGAATAACGGATATGGTGCCAAGCTACTCGGAAGCCTTGCTCTACCAGCGCGCGGATCAAGACTCTATCGCGAACAGAGAAGCAAACGAGGAGTCCGTCAATTGCTACGAGATGACGATACGCGAGTGTTCCTGTCCCTGTCATGCGTCTATCGAAAATCGGTCCCTGGAGGATGCCTTTAGACAAGAAGAAGATGGCCAACAGAATGACGCGAGCAGACAGCCTCTAATGGAGACTGCGATCGACGTTCACCCTCCGCCATGCATGTACACCCTCCAAACAGAGACCGGGAAGTGCGGTAGCTGCGGGAAGTACTTCGTCGAGGCGCAATTAGAAACTGAATCCTCTAGAGAGCCCTGTACTAGTAGTTCGTTAGAAGTGACGGGGGCTATTAGAAGAGAACCGCCTAACGGTGTAATCCCTAGAGACATGTCCGAGCCGAATCTGAGGTGTAGACCGGAACTGATAGAGACTGACACGAGGTTCCTCCGGTTGAACGGTCAGAGCTTGAGGAATATCCTGGAAAACGAGCAAGAGGAAGAGTTCAGCAGCGACGAGAGGATAGGGGAGCCGAACGAGGGCAGACTAAGCGCTCGCGTAGCGAGGGGGAAGTTCAGATTTTCTCTATGCTCATTAGACGAGGCGAGTTCGAGGTCCAGAGTCCCGATAGACGTCAGCAGAGGCGCCATACCGAAGAGGACGGCAGGTCGAAGCAGGGTGATCGCGAACCCCATGTCGAACGACTCTTGCGGACTGCCCGACTCGAAAACCTATTTCTGTCTGAAGTCGATTCTGAAGCAGAACAAACGAAGATACACGCTGATCACCGCCGAGGAGCTTCAGGACTTCTCGAACAGGGCGAAGGGCGATCGAGAAGGGCGGAGCGAGAACAGAGCCTCGTATCACGAGGGCTGCACACCTGCCATCGCCTTGACGAGCAGCGCTGCTAACAAGTTCAATCCGTTTTCGAAGTCCAGAGAGAGTTTGGACGGTAGAAGGAAAAAGCTGTTAGAGGATCTACCCGTGGACAAGTGCGAGGAGCTTCCTGGATGTTCTAAACGCGAGAACACTAGGTGAGTGTGATATAAGCAGCTTTCGAAGATCTTTGATCCAGTTCCGCGTAATTTTATGGTTAGTAGGCGGACTGCAAACTTGCCGCGAATGAAGTATTGGCTGTAAACGCGTAACTCCTCCTCTTTGAGCCACGGCTAGTGGTGGGGACTCTTATCTAGGCGGGAATACGCCAGTGCCATCTGTTAGATGCACTTGATACTTTTCTTGGTTTTGTTCGTTTAATTATGACTTTATCTCGTTAGTGGCAACTCTCTATCCCTATTATAGAGTTGCCTAGATATATTTTGCTAAATATTGTCACTTCTAATTAATTTCCTTCTCTATGAGTGAAATTCATTTTATTCGTTCGACCGACTGTACTACAATCTTTGTGTTTACTCTTTCTGGGCTTGTTTTCTGAGGAACGCTAACTTTTTTTTTCCAGAACTCTGATCTTCGCGAGTCCGATTCAAGAAGTGTGCCCTGGAGACCCATTCGGCGGCAAAGATGTAATCCGAACGAGGAAGGAGGTGGATTCCACGCCGACCGAAGATTCATCGAGTCACACGGTGTTGACTCAGTTGGGAAGATCACTGGCTTGCGATCGGAAGGCGTCGAGACGCCGGCTCCAAGAGTCCAGGAGGCAAAGATACTCGGACATCACGCATCCGTCCTCTTTCTCTTGTCCACCCGATCGACAGCATCCTTATCCTTACGCTTTCTCGGCGTCCACAGACGCAGTGGACACTATTGACTTTGACAAAGGCCACACTTCGGCTAAGGTTTACCAACAGGGTACATCTTTTCCGCCGTACGAAGGCTCCAGTTGCAACAGCGTCGTTGTTAGTCGGTCCAAGGATCAAGCGGTCATGGAAACCAGCTTCACGTCGCCCAGCAGGGAGCTAACTCGATCTTACACTGAGAGAAGAGCGAGGCCCGTTCGAAACGATGCGAATATACGGAGAAGTTTCACTGGACGAGTCGAGGACTACCGAACGGAGAACAACAAATGGCCGAATCTAAATATGGAGACCTCGTTATAACGAAGGAACGCTGCCGCCTGCGGAGCTCCGGACTATCCGTTCGCACGGGTAATCAACAATCCTCTTCACGCTAAACGGATGCTTGACAATCCGATCGTGAACGTCTAAAAGTCTCGCGAAGATTTTTTTCTGCTCTTTCAACAGCCTATTCATTTCTGTAACTTGAAATTGTAACACACGTTCGAGATGTTACTCATCACGCTGCTATTTGTGCGAAGTATTTTCTAGAAAGCGGAAGTGATCACGATCGGGATCGTGGAGTATTAACGAATTAATCGATACTTTTCATCATGTATTACGAAGATTCAGACAATTGCCATGTTTTCCGCGAGAAACGTTTTACTTTTTCGTATCAAATGTATCTAAGATTCGTAAACGTTTACGATCGTTCCGAAACGAAAGCGGACGATCCGTTTAGTCCAGATTCGCGAGCGAGTTAGTAAAAGTACGAGCGTTTAACACTTTGAGTGCCACGTTGCGTTGCCCGGGCGACAACCAAAATGTCAAAGAAAAATTTGTATTCGAGTTCCAGTTCCTGTAAATTAGCTCACGAGCAATTCAAATTCTCGCGTGCACCGCCGCAACTTATTCACGAGTTCTGATGAAGACCGAAAATTCGGGACTATGTCATTCGTTGGCTCAAAGTTACCGGTACGTTGTGCAGAGGGTTCCGAATCTCACGAAAATTCTCTGGCAATGAAAGTGTTAACTGTATAAATCAGTGATGAGCAACCCGCCTATCGACCATCCGCAATAACACGAACACGAAGAGATTCGATCCAACAAATTACGGATTTTTAAGGGGACAAACTAGATTTTCTAAGGCTGCGAGACGTTCGATCTCCGAGGTGAAAAGATTCGGAAAAAAAACAAACAAATGGTTTCTCGTCGCTGGTGGGGCCGGAGCCCCAGTCGCCAGGCTAATCGAAATGTAAATATCCGTCCTGCCGATTTTCACGGTTCAAGATTCTTGTACATAGGCCGGAAGTCCCGGCGATTAGCGTCGGCCCGGGCTATTGCCCGGCCCGAAACCGCCTTTGCTTGAAGCGTACGCGAGTTTCGACGGTAGAGATCGTCGCTTACAATGCTGTCGGTGTTGCCAATGGAGGTTCGTTAAGTGCCCATCCCCGCCCGAAACCCTGGAATCTTGAGAAGCGAGCGAAATTCGAGAGGACAAGAGGCTAGGCCCGCGTGAGCCGCTTCGCGCCACGATCGCGAATCCGATTCCTCGCGAGCGATATGATTCGGCGTCAATTATGCGCATACACTTGTAGCTGATAAGCTTCGTCGACCGATGATCGGGATATTCGAGGCCGGAGAAGGATTTTCCGGGACGCAGTTATTTGCTATCGGGATTCGGTAAAACGGTAACCGAGAACGAACTTCGGCCGGACATCGAATAATTTCGAAGTTCGAACTGGATAGGCAACTGCGGGTATCGGTGATTGTTTGTCTTTGAAGTTGGGATTCAAGCCGAAACTTTCCGGTATTATTGACTCTGCTGCTCCGAAATTGTGTTACCGTTTATGTCGGTGGTTATTTCAGCCCTTCGAGCGAGCACCGAAGTAAGTTTATCCTAATTTCGTAGTTTGAACAGTAGTTTGACTGCGGTGGCAGCGCGTATCGCTAATTATTTGCGTCCCCGGAGATAAAACTGAAGCGGATGTATCTGAATTTCGCAATTGAAACTTTGGTAATGGATGCTGCAGGTTATTTATATCTTTGGTGCGGAATTTAAACAAAATGCATATTGATTTTTATGATTCCGTCTTAGCAATTATAGATACCAATGATTACTTAGGTCTTCCAAGCTGAAATTCAAAAAGATTCGTTCTAATTTTGAAATTATATCTTAGTGGCCACAGAAATATGAATGATTATTCAAATTTACAAAGCTAAAATTGGCATAGGTTCTCCCCAGTTTTACTCGTCCATCCAGTCTAAACTAACGAACAATCTAAACTTACTTAACTCTTTAAGGTTGACATCGGTCTAGATTTCTTCGATCCTTGATCATACTTTCGATCAGAACTTTGTGTCCACTGATATTAATGAATTCTAGTGGTCGACGAAGATGATAAGCTTTCTTATGAAGACCGTTATGTTATCGAAACCGTTCATTCATGTGGCATCTTACACACACGCGTGCATACGTTTTCAGACGATTTTACGCTTTAAAAACAAAAGCAGACACTGTCGCGTGATAATTAGCATCGAATGATCGCGGTATCGATTCACACGGGTCATGTGGAACTAACGAAAACCGTTCGCTCAAGCGGAAGCAAACAACTTTAGATTCTAAACAAACGAAATCGAAGAGAAATCCGTGCCGAAAACGATTGAAAGTCTTCGCTTTCCCGCGCATAAATACGGAAATATATTATACAATCTTCGTCTGTACTCATTATGCGTTCAAAAGTTCCGGGTCAGAAGTCAATTAATTAAAAACTAACTCTCGTAACCAATTAAAACGAAACAAAAATTATACACCGAAGAGTTCCAGGGAAGAATGTTTATGGAATTCAAAAAGGATTGTAAAAATAATGATCCACTTATGGTAACAAAATTTGCAAAAAAAAATGTGAGATGAAACAGGGACCCCAAATTTTGAACAATAATGTGTGTTTACGTACAGAATGTCATACGATCGTTAATCCAACCGAAAGTCCGTTGATTTTTTATACACAAAATATATGTAACAAATATGAAGGAAATTTTGTCGTGCGTGATTTCTTTTTCGAGAAAATTGAATTTGAATTTTAAACGCGCCTGCCATGCTGCGTAGGACCGTTACGCGCGCCATGTTTCTGCGCAGGCGCAACCGTTCGAAGTTCAAATAGATTCTTCTCGTACATGACGCCATTACGAATGAAGATTATATTTGATACCTTTCCTTTTTTCACAACAAAATTATTGCTCTTTCGATTGGATTGCGAATCACAGGACACCCTGTATATTGTACAATATATTTACACGATATATATTTTTGTCTACGCGTCCGCTCTACCCGAGACGAAAGAGGTTATCGTATTCCGATCGTTTTTACCGGTCTCTCGAGATTTTCACCGAGAACTTTGTATTATTAGACGATATACATACGTATATACATATATAAATATATACTATTATTATATGTTACTGTGCACAGTAATTGCTGCATCAAAGGTACGACTTAACCAAAAATAATTCGATCAATTATTGGCTCTTCTTGATGCCGCAATTCTTCTGCGCAGTAATATATATTAACGCGGAGCAAGAAAACGCACCGTTATGCTTTTAGGGAAATATTTTTCATATACTCGACGATTGTGTATCGATGCCAATTGCTAATCGTGATAATCATTGATAGAGAACATTAGGTCGACGATCGTTATGCTCGCGGTACAATTAAGACTTTAAAATTTTATTCGTACGAATTCATAGACAATTAAAAAATTACTTGAGTATAAAAAAACGAGTCGGATTGAAAGCAGTTTATACTTTCGTTTCTGTAAATCGAGCTTCGAGAAAATAGATCGGCCATCTATCTAGCGGTCGATGCGGTTACCAACCCCTCCTTGCATTGGATAGGTTGCCAAAATTAACTTTTCTCTCTTAGCGGTTAAATATTATATTATATAGAAACCTTAATTGTACCACGATAATTATTTACGATAAGTAAACATCAGGACATTTCGAAGTCCTTATTACGTGCATATGTGTGTACGTGTAATGAAAATCAATCACTCTCACTTTTTCAAATTTAGAATTAAGCGAGCAGGAATTATACAATCAAAATTACAATTCTACTTATTAATTGGTTCCTTAGGTTTAATTATAACTAATTCGGCCATCAATGGTTTAATCAACTTGTTGTTCATATATAATACTAAGAAATAGATATGTAGTCAAGATGCACTCACCATCTTCACCGCATCTCGAAGAATCGTTGAAATATATTGGACCATCAGGAAACTTCTACATCGAACAGCAGATCCTTTCTTAGACGCGTTGAGTCTTTAATAAAATCGTGGGATCCACTTTACAAAACGTTTCGAAAATGTTTTAGACACGCGAGAACACTTCCCGACGTACACACATTCGCACTACGTACCGCGTTTTTCTACTGGAAATGTGGTCCGAGCGAGAATCGCAAGCGAATTCGATTTACAACTTTAGCGCGAAATTCAAAACGCGACGTAAGCCACTAGTCGAGCCGCCGCATAGACGTAGACTTTGCAAGTTTGTTGAACGACGAGCGACGAAGCATGTGATAACAGAAATTCGATACTTTACGTGAACCGTTTAATACGTTCGTGGATTTTAAGCGTTAAATCTGTTTGTCACATGAATTAGTACAGTATCAGAATCCTAGGTTGTGTGGCTATACAGACCCTCAATTTTAATACTCCAACATAAAAGGTCGAAAGTATACTATCGAAAAGACTAAATAAGGAACATGACTGAAAAAATGTTTACCCTATTTTCAATAATTTCTTTAAAAATGTTATCTTCACTAATTATATGTTGTATTACAATGATCTTGATGAGAAGGTTATATGTATTACGTGTATTTGTATATAGGTAAGTCTTATGATTTCAGTCGAAAAGTTTTGACTTTTAAATTTGCCCTTTTATACGAACAGAAAATGGTAAATACCTGTAAAGGTGCATGCTAATAATGCTTGAAACCATGAACGTGTTAAATGTCTAGGCATCTCAGGATAACACACGGGATTACTATTTAAGTTTACGCGTAAAACGAGTAATGTATGGTAAGTTTTTATTCCGCGTGAAAAAGAATTCTTGGCCACCGGTTGCAAAGAGGCACTTTCCACAATGGCGGATGTACTACTGTAAACAACATGGTCGTCAAACTGAAATATACAAATTATAATTAATTTTCTCGTGAATTTTGCAAATATAATGTATAATTGAAAATTTTAATTAGAACAATTCCTTTAACTTTTAGTAATTTACAGACTTCAGAAATATTACAGTTAAAGAACGGTTTAATAAATTAAATACTCATTGACTAGTGTCGTACAATAACGTTAATTTTGAAAGTGTCTCTTCAACGTTCGAAGAGATCAGACCATAGGTGAATGAATGCAGATATTGGTATTAAAGATATGCCGAGACTTTCATCGTAAAATAGGTAAGTGAGTGATCAACAATTTAAATTTAAATTTGAATAATAACGTTCATCGATAAATGGAACGCGTT